GGTATGAGCTTCAATTCATAAGAATACATTCAGCAATATGAACTCTTCAAGAAATCATATTCAGATGGTTGCAGAACGTGGTTTTATAGGACGGAAAAATTCACTTTAGAAAGTTTTAGATGGTTTGCATCAGTGTGGAAGGTTGTTTAAAGACTTGATCTACCAAAGAAGTATTTTTTTATAACCGAGAAGTCCCTGAAGCTGAAGATCAGTGGCGTGCGGTTCAACACTCAGTGGATAATGGACCTGTCGCTCTACCCTTCTCCACTTATATACCATTCTTTTGTTGGCAGTAGAGTTTGAACCTGTGACGTGCCTTAAACCCACAAATTATGCGTTGCTCATCTACAAAGAGAACTCATCATTCCACATTGTTTTTCTCATTTTTAAAATTAAAATGATTTTCCTTTTCTTGAAGTATGAGGGGAGAAGTCAATTACCTCAAATATGGAAAAGAGTACACGTTGAGTAGGAAATACAATTCAAGCTAAACCCTAGAGTATGTCTTCCCACCGAAGGAAGGAGAAAGACAGTTCGATAATTTACATTACATTTATCACCTGCGCTTTCTCTCCTCCTAATATCTGCATTGGTTTACAAGTAAAGCTGCCATTATGTCCCTTCTTTTGCTGCTTGCAGAAGTATCAAAACTTAATTGATTTATCATCTCATAGCTAAAGCTGAGTCTCTGCCCAGGACTCATGGATCATTTTGAAAATAAAACTGCCCTTACATTACCAGATTTTACTGTTTCTTAATAAACTACACTCAGTAGCTTCACTTTTTTTTTGAAATTAAGTAGCTTCACTTTTTTTAAATGATGGTGGTGTTTGGGCTAGCTTGCGCACCTCAACTAATTCCACCGGATACCGCTACCTCCACCAGCTAACAGGCACTGTGTAACTCTGCGCACCAAATGTTTGGGCATATGAGGATAAATCACGTAGTGTTTTTTTTCTTCACTTGGATTCGAACTTGAGACCTCATGAATTTTCTTCTTTTGTTATTTCTCTTCTATAATGATGTCAAGAGTATGCAGAGGCCTAGTGACACCGAAAGTAGTTTTTATATCTCAACTTATAGTTGTGCAATAATTTGAAGAAGATTGATTAATTTATCTTAAGAAAGCTATGTGTTCCACTTCATTTGATATCCGAAGAAAGTCTGTTGTTTATGAGCTGATTTTACTGAACTCATGTTTAGGAGAATGATTGACGATGTTCCTCAACTTGCAGGTCTCAAAGCTCGAAAGCAAGTTGTATTAGATGGGCCTGTGAGTTCTGGTAAGAGTATTGCCCTTGCAATGCTTGTTAATTGGGCACGTGATGAAGGTTGGCTAGTTCTTTATGTTCCTAAAGGCCGAGAATGGACTCATGGAGGCTTTTTCTATAAAAATCCTAAAACAGGATTATGGGATACTCCTGTGCAAGCAGCAAATGTTCTCCAGGCAAGAAATTGTACTTATTCTAATATATGAAACATAGTTTGACTAGTTAAATTTCATTTGGTAATTGATATTGTCAGCAAAGATAGGGTGGACCTTAGATTTGTGTACATCTTATCTCCCCAGACACTACTTGTGATTACCTTGGGTATGTTGTTGTTGTTAATTGATACTGTAATACATTTTTGTCTTCTGTAACTGAATGAACCCAGCTTCTCTTTACTTATTGTTTCAAATATTATATAATTTATGCAGAAACAGTTTTGCTCACCAGGATGTGAGAAATATATCTGCTAGTAGGATATACTCGGAAATCGTCTAACTTGGCTCTGCTATGTATACCTAGTGGATCTTCATACACTGCTTTAGAAAAAAAGAATCTGAAACTGTTCTTCAATGTCATTTAACAAATATGGATCACCATTTCTGCATGTTTTCCCCGTGACTTCACTATTACTCTATCTCCTCCATCTAGTGCTTGACTTTGTGTTAAGGATCTCTTTCATTTTAATCCTACTCCATAAACATGAAAGTGAATTTTTTGTAAGGTATATACATGTGTAGGTCTAGCCTAACTTCTATATTCAAACAAATAAGATCGACACCAAATTCCTGATATTATCCATATATTTATCTGCTTTTTTCATATAGTATCTTGTGCTAGTTGTTTCTGGAGAAGTATTTGCTTACAAGTCTAAGAATTAAACATTGGGATCTAATTTTTCTCTCATTTCAGGATTTCTTGAAGTATAATAAGGATCACCTCCAAAAGATACCCTGCAAAATTTTTGAACCTATTCCATTGGGAGAGGGAGCTGGTGTTGGATGGATGAAGGGTGCTGATGTGGTACAAATACCAGAAGATTATACTCTTCTTGACCTGGTTCAGATCGGGCTTAATTCGACTCACGCGGCTGTTGGGGTGCTAGTTCGTTTGAGGGAAGAATTATCCCTTGTCAAGGACGTGCCTGTTCTTATTGCCGTTGATCAAGTGAGAAAAATACTCTTCGCTGTGACTTTGCCTCCTTTTTCTATCCCTTGAATCATTCCTGGGTTAGGGTTAATTTCCTTTTCCTATTGATATTGATCATGCATCCCTTTTCCTGATTTTTCTTTTGGTCATGGACAGTACAACAGTTGGTTCACATTCAGCGAGTATGAGGAGCCAGTAACTGTTCGTTCTTGCCGACCTATTCATGCTAGAGAACTTGCAACTGTAAGCTGTTCTATTAAGTGTTCAAAAATGTTGCTTTGTTAATTATTCATGCAGTTCTCCTGCCTTTGTTTTCTTGGCTATCAGTCTATTTGATTTTAAACAACAAGACATTGCGTTTAATATAATTATGTTAGCCTGCTAAACTGGATCTGGGAGGATTTCCTTGGAGCAAATTATACCGTGTATGCATCCTCTTTCTGACTCCACATTTCACGAGCATTGTGGTTGGGAACACCGAGAATATAAACGCTAACTGTTATGAATAAAGTTTGACGGAATATCTTGGGAAGTTTTGAGGATTCATCAGGAATTGGGAGTTTCCTGTGCTGGCTCCCAATTTGAAACTAGGACAGACTCTATAGACTTTACTTAGATGCATGAAGTGGACAAAACTAGTGACCTATGTCGTATTGTAACCAATGAGAATGTAGTGTTTACACGAAATGTCAACCAAAATTTTCGTGATACTGCCTGTAGTGCCATCCTTATTGCTGTAACATATGGAAGATGCTCTTTTAATGTGATTATTATGTGTTCTTATTCTGAATTATTAGGATATGTTTCTGGTGTAGTTTATGTTTAGAAAGGAGATGGATGGCTGAGCAAAGTAAAAAAATTAATATAAAAAGTCCCCTTCTTGCCAAATGGTATTGACTCGTAAAGGAGTAAAGCAAAGAGCTCTCTAGAGTCATTACAGGTCTGTTTCGCTGACATGGGCTCAGAACTTGACATTGATGCGAAGAGGCTACACCACAATGCATAGATGGTTGTGGTTGATTTTTTAGAGATCGGAGCCTTTGTTAGCCTGACAGTGGCATACATCAATTCTTTGGTGTGGCACATGGGCATATTATCTGTCTTTCTTCTGTCAGTACCATAATTGCTTACAAGTCAATTGTGGAATGCCTTGTTCTAATTATTTGATACACTTGACAAGTAGCACCTTTTCACTTAACTGCAAGAGATCTGATCATTGATAAGCAACTAAGTATGCATCTTATTTTTTTTTGGCATGGCTGTAAATTTTTTTGATTAATCGTTACATTTTGTTAAAAATATCTTATTACTGTAGCTTGCCTGTTTAAGTGTGGTCACTGACAGTCCCATCATATGCAGGTGAATGCATTTAGGTCCATGATTCATGACAATATGATGGTGGGTGCTTTCTCGCATTCAACTGCTGTAGGGAAGCTACGCAAAGACTTACCAGATGTTCCTGCAGATGCTCGCGTCAATTTCCCACGTTATAGTGTGGATGAAGCTGCATCAGTTTGTCATTACTACCTGAGGTATGCACATACCTCATAATACCCAAGGAAGAGTGAATAGCGAGGATTCTGTTGTGACCATTCACTCACTACATAAATACTGAAGAAAATAGAACTTACGATTGAACAAGAAAAGGAACAAAAGAACATTTGAATTATTAAATAAGGAAAAGGAAGTGAACAATTGAATTATCCCGCAAAAAGAAGGAAAAAGAATGAACAATTGATTTATCAAAAGGAAACACAAGCAAATAAACAATGGAAGAAGAAAAACCATGTAAAAAAGTTGGAACCATTTCTTTGAAAACAACAAAAGAAAAACAAAGAACTATGGAATGCCCAGAGAAGGAACGTAGAGTTATTTTTTAGGATTTATAACTTAGTTGAAGGTCTGCTTCATAAAGCTATCTTATGTTATGTGGCCACAGAACAACACTGTTTAATACTAACTCTCCTTGTGTAATTTTCTTATTTGACAGACAACGACTCATTCAGCGTGAGGCATTTACAGAACAAAGCTGGAAGAAAATCTATTATCTTTCAAATGGAAATGGTTCAGAAATGAGATGGCTGGTTCCTTTCATGAGATGAACCACAAAGAATCGATCTTCAACAGATAACTTTGAGATTTTAACCTGTATTGCATCTGTTAGTGCTCTGTGAATCTGGTCATTCTCAGCAACAAATAATCTGGCTGCTTTCTTGACGAACTCTCTAAGTGAGGTTTGCTTCTTGAAATTTTGCTCTGTACTCTAGGCTAGTTTAGGCGTATACTGCCTGTGTTTGTATGCTTTGGTATCCAGAACATAACCGCAGATTCATATATACATCATTACACTGGGCTATTGTTCTTTCCAATTTCTTTTGCTTGTTTTTTCTGACCTGATGTATTAATTCAATAATGTTGTAATTGCGCAATACATTAAACCTTTCGAATTCTTAGGCTTTATCCTTAGCAAGATGGATGCTTTTAAGATTTACCGCTGTAAAGATGACAGTTCTTCGATCATGGTTCCCACAATAATGTCTCTTGATATGTGACAATTGTTTGCTCATCTTTTGAAATTTTATGTAGGAGAAGATAACACTGAAACATTGTCATATGAAATAAAAAGGAATGAGGATTTAATTATCTTTGTTACACTCAGAGGCTCAACCTTTTTATAGCCAAAATTTCTGTTTGTCAAAAAATACTACAACCAAAGCCACAACAAGGCTAAGCTCAGTCAAACCGGGAAATATGGTTACTCGAAATCTGTTCCTTGGAATGAAATGCTTCCTGAACCCAAGTGTGTACATAAGGCTAGTCTGCATTCAAGCACAATGAAGCAGGTTAAAACTCAACATGTGACAAACATGAAATAAGAACACATTAAGGATCTGTGTAGATCTAAAGAATCCAGTCAAAATCTACACCTTCCAACACGACCATAAACATAGTTTCCTACATGTATGGATCTACCAGGGAACAATGAATACATGAGAAAATGTTACAATGATCAATGACGAGATATTATACTGCTATGTGTAGGAAATAGTTAGTTTCGGATCCAGTATCAAGTTAGGGTAGGAAGTCTATTTTATCATGCTATGTTTCTATAGGCTCAACCTTGATTGTTTCTTTGACAGTCTAGGATTTAAGGTATGATACATTTGAGCTTTTCCTTGATAAATTCAGGAAAAAAAAATAGATGTTTATGTAGGACACAGGAACAATGTTCAAGGGAAGGAGCAGCGTTCAATAGGAGGGGAAAGATACAGCTCAGAGCCTTTGTTAGCCTGTGTGAGATACCTCTGGGTCAGCAAAAGAGGCGTAAAGTTCATTCAAAACAGGGAATCATAGTGATTTTCCTCCCCTAAAACTTGATTTTCATTAGCTGCTCTTTTCTTTTTCTCTATCGAGTCTCGATCACCTTCCACTAGCATAGGTCTTGGATTACTGTAGGTTAACTATTTAACTTGCTATATACTAGTATATTAATACCTCAGCTACTATGGAATTGCCTTTGTAGATGGTGCATGATCTCTTGAAGGCAGAACCTTTCATCTTAAGATCAGCCTCTGCGCCTTCAACATGTCCATCACCAAGGAATATGTCAAACTCTAGTTTAGTGAATGTATTTAGTGTCTTATTCACACTGAACATCAACGCCTTTTCTTCATTATCACTTACCATAAAGCCTTGCCATGATCCTTTCTACAAGAGAGGACAGAAATAACATCACACGACGTCTTAAGAAGATAAACAACCATACAAACAAACGCTTTTGCTTCATCATTTTAAGAGATGATATCAATGCATTCAAATTATTTTAGTATACATTCTACATTTTTTCTACCCCTCCCTATGAACTCAACCTTACGCGTTTACCATCTGAGCGACTCCTTCACGTCTACATTCAACATTGTTATCACAAAAGAACCATTTGCACATAGAAATGAGCTTCCTTTTAGTAATTGTTCTTCCTTCCGTAACGTAAACAGCTAAACATTGTCTCAACAAATTAGAATCAACAACAGAGAAAGATAATGGAACTATTCAAATGACAGTACTATCAGATGCATAAAGAAGCAGTTTCTGACTATAAACTTGTTTTTTTTTTTTATCAATTAAGAAAACTTACAGTTAATCGAACTAAGCGAATCAGGGTATTGTCCGATGCATCGAGAATTAGTTTTTGAGGGTGGGTCTGGGCTGCCGAATTCTGAGGTTGACGACGGTCAACGCTGAAGAACAAATTACCAACAGCATCGGTAAATTGGATGTTTCCAGCATCCCAGAAGGACTTATACTTCTTCGATACAAAAAGATCAAATGGAAATTGCCCGTCCGGCGGCCACTCCTCCGGCGTAGCAGTGGTTTCCATCAACCAGCTTAAAATTGACGAACTCCGGGAGGATAACTCCGCCAAAAGAGACGGAAAATTTTGAAGATGATGGTGGCAATGACCGGAGTTCGCCGGCGTTTTGCTTCGACAAGAATCAAATTAAAAGTCGGACGAATTTAACTTTATAAATTACTTTTGGCAACAAGGGATATTTTTTATATTGTAATTATAATCGAATAAAGGAGACGAGTTGGAAAATATTTCAATTTGATGAATTTAATATTAAAGAAATGACATATATTTCATTTCCCTAAAATTTTCCTTTGCATGCGAAGAAGTTTAATGTACAAAATACTTTGCGTTCCTAAAAAAGGTCTATTTTAAGGAATATGATGTAAATAATTACTTTAATATATTAATAATTATTTGATGAATTAAATTCATGGCTTATAGATAATTTTATTGTTATTTTGAACTTTCTTTGATAATTTCTTTCTCATGTAACAATGATCGAAGATTTATAGATTCATATGTGTTTGATTATAAAATTTGAAATTTTATTTTAAAATTTTATAAAATCAATGTACGTTTATAATATTTCAATTTCAACACTGATTTAAATCTCTAATTTAAAAATAGAATTTTACATTAAAAATATAATTTCATAATGCATAAATTTATATTTTGTAAAATAAGATCTATCATCCTAAGTTTCAAAAAATGTATACTTGATGTAAGTACATCATTGTGAACGAATTATACTCCAATGTTTTATGTATACTTGATTTTCTAAAACAATGTTTTAACTTAAATAAATCAAAAAATTTATAATTTGACCGATCATCTTTTTATCATCATTTTTTGATGACTTGATAAAATGTCAAATTTTTGTGAAAAAATAAATACTGACAATCATGATAATTATACTCGACGGACGTGTGAAACTTCACCGTAAAGTTTCTTCTTAGCAATGTCTACAATTATCGGAAGTCCGTCTAAAGATGACCCACCTGCCACCAGTAGTTCTGATTGGAAAAGGTTCCGATCTCGCCGTGACGCATTATGTGAGTTTTAGGGCTTTTTCACTGTTCACATTTTGTTATTTTTCAAATTGTTTGGAATCATAAATTTTAAATCGATCCAGTTTTTATGCTCGACAGGCACTTAAATGACCATGGCTTGATTTTGCTAAGCTTTTAATCTCCGATTTTTCATGCAAAGGTATGTTAATAATAATATACGGTAAACGAACCAAAATTTTCACTAAAAAAAATAAAATATATATAAAGAATAAACATGAACATACGAGAACTTTCACGAGTTTTTTCTTAGCCTGAAGACAAAAAGAATTTAATAAATAAAAAATTATACATAATAGTAAAAAAAAATTTAATCTATTTATAAAATGCTGCGTAAAAAATAAATTAAAAAGGGAGTTTTCCTAATAATACTAAAAAAAAAAAGGATAAAAAATTCAATAATTGGGAGTATATTAATAGACAAAAAAAACATTTATATTTTTATTTTCAGTAAAATTTGCACAAGCTTCATATAATATACTGTGAAGTCCCAATTATGTAAGTCGAAGTAGCTCAGGAAACACCGCCGCTGACATTCTTTCCGGCAGCAATGGCTGCAGTCGGGGAGAGTTCTTCTGTTCCGGCGAAGGAAGACAAGCTCGTCGTTGTTAGGGTTAAGAGAAAAGCTTTCCAGTCTCGACTTGACGCTTTCTGTAAGTTCTAGGGTTTTTCACAGACAATCTTTTGTTATTTTCGGTTTATTCGAAGCTTAACTTTTCGATCATTCCTATTGTTGTGCACCGCCAGGGCTTGAAATCAATGAGAGGCCAGCCAAACGACCGTTGCTCGACTTTGCAAAGCTTTCAATCGATGAATCTTCTAGTAGAGGTTTGTAAAATTTTGATGGTTAACACTTTAAAGTTCAACATGAGAATTCGGACATTTTTTGAATTTATATAGTATCTGAAATTACTTTTGTAGTTAAAAAGTAGGTTGAAGTATTTCAAATGTCTCAGTTTTTCGAGTTTCTTAGGTGCACTATCAAATAGGTTTGAGTTACTATCACCAACGATTTACAAGAAAACACCTCAATTATCAATTGTATTCTTTTTCCTACCTGAATGATGTTAGTATTTCAGATTGGGCAACGGAACAACGGATAGTTGAAGTGTGTTTTGATAAATAATAGTTGGTGATATTTCAGGTAGGGAACTCGTACACCTTATAATTAAGATATGAAATTCAGACAAATGGGAACTTTAGTTGTGCTTTGACCATTAACTCTAAGAAGTATTGGAAAAATGTTTGATAAGTTGTAGAAAAAGACAGCTGGTTGACAGAGGTATAGTTCGTTGGATGTTAGTTACATATATGCTCAAATGAGTAATTGGTTATTTTGTGGATTTCTAATTTCTATTGTAGTTCAAGAGCAACAAATGCAGTTCTAAGATTGTAACATGCCAGGTCTTTCTATTTTTTTGATTTCTATACCGTTATGTACTAATAATTATTTTCAGTTGAGGAATTGAAGAGCAGAAAGGTACTTGTGCAACATGTGGAGACCGTAACTAGCTCAGAAGTCACTGTTGATATCGTGAAGTCTTTTGTGGTTAGTTGTAGTATAATCTACATTTTTAATATACACATCCTATTTTACTGCAACTAGTTGCTTCTTTTGCATTGTTCATCTTGCTATTTTGCTGTTGTTATTTTCTTTCAAATCCTCCTTTGTTTTCACTTCTTTTAAGCCAAGGATCTATCGGAAATAACTCTCTATCTCTCAAAGGTAGGGGTAAGTCTGCATACATCCTACCCTCCCAAGACCCACTTATGGGACCTTATTGGGTATGTTGTTGTTGTACTTGTACCCTTGAAGTGTGAGAATTTTGTAGCACTTGTATTATCAAGCCATACTTTTAAAAGGGTTTTTGAGTTGTTTGTGCAATTATTTTACTAGCTTACTTCTCACCCTGATAGAAGCTACAATGAGTTTTCTAATAGCTGCATTTTATCAGTCGGCTCCAGCTGTTTCTTCAGAAGTCGAAGAGAAATCTGAGGTTAGGCGAAGTTTTAGGACAGAAAAGGTAAGCTCTTTCTTGATTTACCCAAGAATTTTGCATCTACCAGAGCTTTAGCTTAATTATAATTGATAAATGCATGTACTTAATTGATATCTGCAGAAACAAGATCAACTACTTGCCAAGGCAAAGCAAACGCAAGAGGTATTACCAGAGTTCTATACCTTCAGATCTACTTGTGTAGTAATTCAATTTTGTTTTTTCACTCTTACTATTTCATGGATGGATCTTTCCTCTTGTACTAGTTAATAGCAATTTAGCCACACAGCATGTAATTTGCTGTTCTATTTTTTTATTTGTGGAACTCTTGTTTTCCTTTTTGTCAAATGTAATTATTTCTAGTGTGGTTAGTCATTATGTTGATGCGAAACATTTATGTCTGAACGAAACAGAATTGCTTTAAGTGGTTTGATGTTCTAATTGGAGATTACTGATAAAAAAGTAAAAGAGAGATAATACAAATTTACGTTCTTTTTTCTCATAATATGGTGTCTAGATTGTGTGCACTTTGACTAATCCCATGGGATACATACCACATCCCACCAGCAATGGTACCACTTGTTTTTGAATGTTACAATCAAATAGTGGTTAAGGATGTAATTTGCTTGTTAATACCCAAATGACATTCTTAAATGCTGTTTAATTCTAACAATCAGAAAAAAAATTGAATACCAAACGAAGGATGAATATACTTGAACAGTTCTGATATTGATATAAAGAAACAAAACTATCTATAGGAACACTTTACATGACATGCATATCTGTCTGAAAAAAATAAGCAAGTGGAATATATTATTCAGTTTTAGCTGATATATTTGGATTTACCAAGGAAAAAAAATAAAGAATGTTGCGTGGGGAAAATTGATGAAGAATTTTTCTGAACATATTTTTAGTATATGATAGTGCGGTCGTAAACTTTGTTGCCTATTCTACAACATATCTTTTAAACTTTTTTAACTCTGCATCTGTAGGTGCTTGTTGCTAAATCTAGCTTATGAAACTGTGTTGCTAGTTTAGCGAATTCCACATCTGATTTGCTATTATTATATTGTATTCTAGAGGTTTGTGCATGTGATTGATTTCATAAATGTATTGGGTTTTGAAGTTTGTGCCAACGGCGGCACTCTTTGCTCTTTTCGTTATTACAATATTATCAAACTTGATTCATTTAAACCTTATGGTCTTAAGTGGGTTTTGAATAACCTTAATAGTGGTTTCTTGTGTAGTAGATTCACTTATCTTTTCTCCTAATTGAATTTTTCTAGGCTTTTTAAGATTTAGCTTATCTTGCTCTTCCCTCCTTCAGGATTTGTCGAAAAATGCCCGGTTTGAGCAAATATGGAAAAGCAGAAAAGAGAAGAGAAAACTAATGCACAATGAAGAGCTGAATGAGATGTGTAAACTATATGATGTTATTCGTGTTGATACTGAAGAAAAAGGCCGAGAAGTGCAAGAAGAGTAAGTGTTTTTGTAATTACATGCTAGCTTCATAAGTTACTGTCGCATGTGTTATCTTTTTCCTTCACAAATGAAAAAGAGATGGTTTTATGACATTGATGCAGGACTACTGAGCTGGAAGATCACAAGATGATGTCCCAATATTTGCCTCTTTTACGAGAAGTCATGCCAAGTGCTGCTGAAGAAATTGAGTCAGAGATTCATAATTACGTAGTGAAACAAGGTTTCTATATTGCTTCTTCCCTTTTCCAGGGATTTGTTTTCAAATTCAATCTCATGATTTGCTCCCCCCCCCCCCTCCCCCCCAGCGCAAGGGAATCCCTATAAGCTATAGATTGCTCTGTGAAGTTTTTATCAACTTGACAAATTTCATTAACGTATTTATGTTCTGAAACAAGATGAAATGGTAAAAAATCTAGCTTATCATCACTGGCCATTTCAGCCATGCTTCTAGGGAAGGTACTCTAGCTAGAGTTCTGCATTCATTCCTAACCAATCGAATTTTGAATGCTTTCCGTTCCTGAGTCTCTGGAAGAATTACTATTGTGAATTTGGCCAAATGGGCACTGGAGCTTGCTGTCTGTTGTCATTTTTATGTGAGTTTATTGAAGGTTATGCTAATTCCTGTGCAGCATCTTCAGATGGTTACGTTTATGACTATTATACTGTTAAGACTGATAACAACCCTGATGAGGATATTGCTTGC